TACAGACATTACTTATCTTTCCTTTGTAATGCATTTTATATTGACCTTTGACTGGAAATTACTTTGAAATGTCCTATCTTTTCTACTACATATTCACGAATGTATAGTTAAGAGGATGATTTCATCCAAAAAAAGAATCTTTTTCACTGTAATCGTCTTTTACTATGATTCAAGAATCATAAAATTCGTTAAAGATTAATTAAAGTTGGTATTCATTTTCCTATCTTAGAATATTTTAATCGCTTTCGAAAGATTCCATGAAAAACAAAGTGTTAATTATTTCGATCATTTCTTTGCTCCAAGGACCTATCGGCTTCTTTCGTTTAATTTTCTACGTATTCGATTCTTTATCAAGTTCAGTGTTGCATATTTTGGGTCATTTATTTACAGTAGATTTAACAGTTTTATGGTAAGAATAACCAGAGAAGTTATTTCTTGTTCATATCAATTTTTTCCTTTGTTGTCTTGAGAAAATAGAACACAGAGTTCAGTTGGATACGCAACAGTCTTATAGATGCACTATTCTAGTACCCAATCGATTAACTGGTCTTCTTAAAAGTGTGCAAATCAACTGATAGTCAATATACTTAGGCTGTTAACTAACTAATTTACAACACCCGCATACAATAAACAAAATAATGAAGCAAGCAGTTAATTATCAAGTCATAATCATACAGTAGGAGAAAGTGATGACTTTTCTTTTTCGTAGTATCGCTTATTTTTCGAAAGCAACAAATTTTTCTTTATTCATGTTTGTTACACATTTAAACATGACTATATTTAAAAGATGTTAGAAAAAAGTCAAAACATATGAAGGTTTGCTTTATTTTACCTTGATTTTGGCTTTACATAAACGTGATTGTGTAATTTTATACGTGTGTATAGATGGACTAAATATTTATGAAAATGGTATATTGATTTATTGACTTGGCGCCACAGTGTCTAGTCGTACATTGACCTAGAAAGCCAACTAGCTGATTATTTTATTGATGATAGATGAATAGACGGAGGTGTAAATGCGCAGAAAATTAATTAACAAATGAGCAAAATCCATCTGAAATGGGAGCGAAAAACGTTACCATCACATTGATAATTGGGATGAAAATTTAAAAAAGACACCCTAGGATAACTTCATATAGGTAGAACATGGGGAATTCGTGCCATGTTTTCGCTGACGCATAGGTATCACGATATGTTTCTTCTTTGTGCTTCAAATAATTTAAATATGATGTATATGTGGTATGCAGTTTGAATCGCTTTTATGTTGTCATTCAGTATCTATCTTACACAATTCTGTGGGTTTTACTGAGGCAGTTAGCTCAGAAATGCCTGTATGCCATCGTCCAACCGCTGTGGGAAGAGGATTGATAACAGCAGACGGGTAAGTGTGAGAAACGGCCCTCCTAAGTAGAATAACTCAGTCCGGACACTTGCCCCCACCTCTACCCGGGACTTTGGAGCCTTCTCCGTTAGTAGGAGTGTATGGCCTGTTGTGTACACCATTTTCATGCACACGCGCCTAATTAAAAGCCAGCCTTGTTGTCAGAGACGTTTGGTCTGCCTGGGAAACTGCGAAAGGTTTTTAAAACCAGAAGTGGGTAACCATTTATCTTGCACACTTATTTATTGTTTAGAAAAGCTGAAAACATAATGGTATTAGGACGTCTAGTAAGTTTGTTAAATTGCTTGACTTACTAGTTTGAACGCCTTGAGTTTTCTATATTACGAACTGACAGAAGCAGGAAATATGAACCACTGGATTTCGATCCAATAGTTAAAGCGTTATCCGTGAAACTAAAGGTGTCGGGTTCGGTCGCTCAGGGGGGGGGGTCATGTATGCACCCTCTACTGAAGAGTGCCTCTTAGCTGCTTCCATTTCAGCGACTCGCTTGAGGTGAACATAGAGGAGACAGAGGTGATGAAGATGCCCGACCACCACCACCATCACCATCACCATCACCACCACCATCACCACCGCCACCAACAACAACAGGAAGCACCAATCACTATCAACTGGAGAAACCTAAAGGAAGTAGTCTCTTCCACCTACCCACCTATACACCTACCTACCTACCTACCTAGAAAGCATCGTCTCAACTACCACAGGTGGTGGCGACACAGATGACGATGTCAAAGCCAGGACTAGAAAGACAGCAAGACGAGCCTTCCTTCATGAATCTGGAATCAGTGTGGGGATCTACTCCGCTCAGCACGAAGCGTGAACACGATTCGGATTTTCAACACTGATGTCAGTCGAGTCAGTGTTTCAATGTGATAGTTGAGCGACTTGGTGCGTCACGAAGAGCACTTCTAACAAACTACAGTCATTCATCAACAGCTGCCTACACTCACTCGATAGTGAAGATCAGATCAGATGGTCAGAATAATAAGAATAAGCAACAAGGAACTCTGGCAACAAATCAACCAACAACCTATCACCTAACAAATTTGCAGAAGAAGAATGTGGAGTTGTGTTGGATTGGATTGGAGATATACTGAGAAGACCGAATGGGGATATCACTCATCAGACCAGGCCAGACCAGGCCAGGCCAAGCCTTTGAGTGGAATCTGAATGGGAAATGACAAGTTGGGCGTTGGAGGTGAGGGTGACGTGGAGGAGGTGGTGTGAGGAGAAATGAAAGCTTGTGGATAGTGGTGGTGCCAGGTTGTGAAGACTGCAGAGAACGGTGTACAATGGAGACTTACTAGTGAAGCCTTATGTTTCACTGGAAACCCAAGGAACTAATAATAATAACAAAGGTTAATTTTATATTCATTGTACTATTCATTCCACTTCAATGCATCGATATGAACTGTGACAAATTCAACCAGTTCGTTGTTATGTTGAGTTTCCTATCGCTAAGTTGTGCGCCTGCGATAGTCAAATAACGTCATTTTCGGGGGAAGCTTAACTTCAAATCTTCGTATCTGTTGAAGAAACGAAGTGGCAGTACGAAACTACATCTTATTTGTTTTCTTTCTGCAACCTAGAACCAGTGGAAGTGTGATATGTCTACTTGATTTGGTCGTGAATTTCATCAAGCTTTCTTAACTTAACAGAGTCCCAGCTGAGATATTGCAGGTTTGAGGATAATTTTTGCTTACAAATCAACACTGATGATTAACTACTGACAAATTACATTAGCTTGAAATATCTTTGAGCGAGAAATGTACATGGCATTCAATGAAACTTAACATACGAACTAACTATTTCGCAATAAACATATTGTTCTTGTGTCACTGAATCCACTAATTATCATCTTTCAAGCCAGTCAAATTACCATTTTTCGACAGTGCCCTTTACTATTCTTTGCTCGGTTACTTTCGAAGCCATGCACATTTTTGTTCTGCTTCATCTATTTCCATTGTTTGGATTCTCATGCAAGATTTTCTACCTTGAATATCAATATTTTGTTGTCGACTTGCTTTATTATACTTCCATGAAGTGTGGCAACTTAATCTGATCCACTTTTGTGGTAAGCTGTACGCTGATCTGCTAGTCTCTCGTATTCTTTTGCTTACAAATTGGTATCAGAGTTTCAAGAAGTTCTTATATGTGACAAGTTCTCTATGATCAACGGATTGATATCCAGTTTCATATTTTCAACTGTACGATGTAAAAGATTGAACAAATAATTTATCGATTATAATTGTGACTGTCTGAGATAGTCGTGTTTTGGCAAACGAGTTATGATACTGGGTGATGACTGAGTACGACTGAGCCGCAGTAATGCGTCATGAATTCACACGGCAGTCCAGCAAAACCTATGTTTATTGAAGTGAAATAAAAATCTGCTCAGCAGTCGGGCCTTGTAACTCAGTTGGTAGAACATCAAGCCGGGAACCCGGTGGTCGCTGATTCCAGTTTGGCTGCGGTCCAAATTTCTGTTTCACCATCAATCATCAACCGATATAAATAACTTATCACTGAACCATGAGTTCTAGCTATTGTCCACGTATTACTGATCTACGCTTCACTGAATTTTCAGCATAAATTTAGTAGTGCTTGATGGTTATCCGATTGTTTTTTGAAAATCTACGGGTATCTTCTTTATATGTAAAATAGAAGTTGGAGTGGTAACTGATTAGCAAGTTTTACTTTATTCTTGGAAAATTTGGATCTTTCCTGACAAACGGTGATTTTTAATCTGATATAGATATTGATGACGACACTTTCTGTGAAGGCGTCTAATAGACTTTGAGGAATCCGATCTTCTTCATAAATGGCAAACTATAAGCACCAAACAATAAATGATGTCAGTTGCACAGGTGCTTCTCGTATCCCAGAGATGGGTACTGGGTTCGAGTTTCAATGGGAACAACTTTCTTCACTCGGGGTGAAGGTACGTTCAACTGACGAGTGATTTCCAAATAGGATGGAGTGTGCGTACTTGATTCTACTGATAGCCAGCAAGCTGAATACACCATCCAATGATTACGTGAAAAAGTGTCAACCAATGATAATCGATAAGCTTTTTAATCTTGAGATAATTAAGTGCCATTTTAGGTCACATTCAATACCAGATCACTGGTCAATTTAAGGTGGTGGCTGACTGGCTGAACGATGCATAACAAACCTAATAAATTTTGTTGATCAAGTTTGCGATCAACCCGAATTATGAAATACTACCGTTTCCAGTAATTATAGTATTAGGCGTAACGCGACATAGAACAAGGAAAGTTTGTGACCACTATGATCCTTCTCACATGAAGTGGAAAAGTGGGATTTATAACCGCTTAACTTTATGGGTTATGGTGGTATATGGGCCCATAAACTTAAATATTCTTTTCACGAAACTTGCTAGGAAAGCATATCGAATAACATTAGATTCCTAGTTTTACTTACCATACAAGAATTTCTAACAAATAAAGATTACTTCCCCCTTTTATCTTTCAGCTTCTGTGCCTAGGTGCATTTTAGTCAATTGCAATCTATCCCTCGTATATTTATCATCGACTATTACAATATATCACATACATTTTCTGTTTTTTTTGTCTAGATATCTTGTAAGAAATAAAGGAGGTTTATAGCAATATCAACAGGAAGTGACTTGTTACAGCTCATGACTCTCATCTGATTTCCACATCAAGATGTCAGTGAACCACGACGTTTATAATTTATCCCCAATTTTATCTGATGAATCTACGAAATCAAAACAACAAACTCACGAGAAATTTTTTTCACTAATTAATGGCCTAGAGTCCGTATGGTCATCTAACTGTAGTGATTCTAATGGTTTTAATTACAATGGTAGTCATCAAACGTCTTATTTTACACCGTGGTTATCTTCAACACATGCTTCTCATAAAAATACAATTCAGAACAAATCGAGTCCATTACCTGAATCCAATCTATGTGAAGATATGAAACGACTTCAGACAGAGGACAAAATGAATCAGATTAACAGCAATATACCAGACAATAAAACCAGTAATCCACTTGACTATTCTATACATTCTCAAATAAATAATCGTTACTGTTCTGCATTTACTTCTCTTAAATCACCAGTTATACCACGATCAAAATGTAATCTTAATTTAACAAAGATTCCAAATAACAAATATATCCAAGAAAGTGATGCTTCATTTTCTTGTGCACTCAGCTGCATCTCGAAATCAATAAATGGTCCTACTAATGGTGAGGTTAATCACGAAGTTTCATTAAAACGTAAATACTCTAGAAGCCCTTCCAGTACAAGTAGAAAATATGCTGACAAATACATGAGGACAGAAAACAATAAGAAAATTAGTTCCTTTCACTGTAAAATTGATAATACCAATATAAATACGGTCAATACTGACAGTGAATACATTAATAATCACTCAAATATTGTAGACCACTTATCAACGAATAGTTTTCTTAATGAATGTAGTCATTTAATTAAGAACACTAATTATAAAGATTCAACTTCATTAACAAGGAAAAGGTTAAAAGTGGATAAGGACTGTTCTTCACATAACATCAAATCTACTAATACATCAGTATCAAGTACAGCTATTTCTTCGAGTACAAAGTCCAGCACGAATGACGGCAGTGCAAACGATGTTATTCCCAAAGATAATGACAATAAAAATGGAACGAAAAGTAGCACAGTGTCTACAGCAGCTTATAAATACTTAACATGGCGTGAAAAAGATCGTCGACGAAGATTTCGTGAGGAATGGAAGCATTTATGGCTTGTTATACCACATGGACTCTATGAAGTGAGTTGTGATTCAGTTTTACAGTTCGTCTCTTTTTGAAACATTCACGGGTTATATTTATTCAATAATTCATTTAAAATATTTAGTCATAAAAGAATAAGGCCGCAATATTTTACTTCAAAACTAAGGAGTAGCAGAAAAATTCTGTTGTTTCCTCCAGAAAATGGCCATTTACGAATTTCCTTCAATCTTAAACTTTCATAGAAGATATGACTGGCGTTTCCTTCAGTCAAGGAAAGATATTCATGTCAAGTGATTTGTGTGACATCGAAGTTGAATTAGCAGCAGACAAACATCGTAATTAGGCTGATCAAGCGAATAAGTAATCCCATAGTCAAATTCTGAATCTCACTTTAATTCCTGAATTTACTCAATATCAGTCATATTCAGCATCAGAAAACCACTTTCCATTTTAATTCATACAAGGACAGTGAATGTTACAAGTTTTAAAGAATATTATATTGTCTGAAAAGTCTTGTAAGGACGTGACAACGATGTTGCTTTTAGTTATATACAAGCTATTTGCATTCAGCATCACTTAGTATGAGTCTTTGCGAGAAATGGCGTGCAATGATGCTCCACCTCTGTCCACCAAAAGCAAAATATTTAGCCGCATCATCCTGTAGAGACTAAACAATACTCCCAATTCAAAACTATAACCAGAATAGGCTGTATTCAACAAAAACAAATCATTTGCAGATCAAATTGTAACACTGCGCTGCACATCATCATAGAACAGAGTATAGAATAGCAGTCAACTCTCCACCTCACCTCAACCTCATCGACTTTGGAAAGGCCTTCGATAGCGTCGACCCAGAAGTAATTTGGCAGCTACCACTTCAACACTACACTACGGTTTTAGTGCCACAAACATCATCAATCAATCTCACTCAACAGCAGCCATATGACGACGTCACATGCCAATTGATTCACAATGGAAAGCAGCTGAGTGACGCCTTTGAAGTGAAGACAAGAAGGAGTGAGACAAGATTGCCGTCTCCCATCACTGATGATCTTTCTGATTGTGGTCGACTCGACTGAATTATGCAACAAACTGTGAGGAGTGAGAAAATGAGCATACGCTGTTTGACGGATGTAAAGAGTCTAGAAGATTTGGATTTTGCTGTGGACGATGATTTATGTCTACTGTCTAGTGTCACACAAACTGGGAGATGTACAGACGAAAACTGACAAGTTGACAGAAGAGACAGGGCAGCGATGGAGGACGCGACTCGAGATACCCGACCACCACCTCCACGACCATCACCATCACCATCACCACCGCCACCAACAACAACAGGAAGCACCAATCACTATCAACTGGAGAAACCTAAAGGAAGTAGTCTCTTCCACCTACCCACCTATACACCTACCTACCTACCTACCTAGAAAGCATCGTCTCAACTACCACAGGTGGTGGCGACACAGATGACGATGTCAAAGCCAGGATTAGAAAGACAGCAAGACGAGCCTTCCTTCATGAATCTGGAATCAGTGTGGGGATCTACTCCGCTCAGCACAAAGCGTGAACACGATTCGGATTTTCAACACTGATGTCAGTCGAGTCAGTGCTTCAATGTGATAGTTGAGCGACTTGGTGCGTCACGAAGAGCACTTCTAACAAACTACAGTCATTCATCAACAGCTGCCTACACTCACTCGATAGTGAAGATCAGATCAGATGGTCAGAATAATAAGAACAAGCAACAAGGAACTCTGGCAATAAATCAACCAACAACCTATCACCCAACAAATTTGCAGAAGAAGAATGTGGAGTTGTGTTGGATTGGATTGGAGATATGCTGAGAAGACCGAATGGGGATATCACTCATCAGACCAGACCAGACCAGGCCAGGCCAAGCCTTTGAGTGGAATCTAAATGGGAAATGACAAGTTGGGCTTTGGAGGTGAGGGTGACGTGGAGGAGGTGGTGTGAGGAGAAATGAAAGCTTGTGGATAGTGGTGGTGCCAGGTTGTGAAGACTGCAGAGAACGGTGTACAATGGAGACTTACTAGTGAATGGCTATATTCCACGATAAACCTATGGGACAAATAATCGTAGAATAATCACTTAGAATGAAGGAAAACAGTTTAGCTATTCATCTTCTGGTGATTAATTATAATGCATTTGTGTAAAAACTCATGACTTTTTCATGTGCTCAGTGTCAACTGATATCTTTTTCTTTCTGACAAAAGTGTTATCCTTGAAGTCAATTACATCTTTCTCTACACTATAGTGAGTTCGCTGCAATAAGAGTTTCCTTCTATAAAACACTTATGTTTTCAGTTTTCTGGTCTTCTAGTGCCTTACCCTCCACTAAATAAAAAACTAAAAGTGTCTCCTTTCGAAACTTTTTTGATTTTCTCAAAACGTTTCTCAGGAAGTCGTTTTTTTGAATTAGGAAAAGGTGTGCAACTAGTGAGTAGTTTCTTCGAAATACAGTGGTTTATCTTAGCTTCTGATTTCTTGTTCATTATGATGCTGGACTGTATTGATTGGTCTATGTGAGTATGTGGGTTTCTTAAACGGATGCTTCAATGTTGGTCCAACTTTGGTTTTAAGCGGTGTTGAGAACAAGTGAAGGGCACTGGGGAAGACAGGCAAGTCAAGTGATGAGGTTGTGAATCTTAGTCGACTAGGATGGCTAGCATATGTACTGTGCATGCCAAGCGGCCGCCTGCCTTGACCTGCCATGCTAAGGGGAGTTTAGTTGCGTTGGAAGAGGGCTCAGCTCTGACCTGACCAAGACGTGGCACCAGTGGACGAAGTCTCTTACCATTGGCCTGAATCGTGTGTGGAGATTTAGACTGCCTGGTTGGTGTCTACAAGATGAAGAGAATCAGTGGTTGAGAACTCTTGGTGAGATGGGTGAAAACAGGCTGCAATGGCATAGATGTGTGCACTTTTTGACATTTAAAACTCGAATATTCGCACTGAGTGTCATTTTTTAATTGTTCATTTTCCCACACAACTTTGTCTACTCTGATATCATTCTTTTTCTATTCACCCGTTCTTTGTATACTACTGTGAAATGTGGCAGCTTGGACCGATGCACTTGTGTACGAGGTTCTATACTGATTTCGTCTGTCTGTTTGTTTAATTTTGATGTTATTCACTTGAAATACCGATGCATCCAGCTGACGAGTCCTAAATAAGATGAAAAGTGCGTCCTAGATTTCACTGTTAGCTACCGCCAAGCAAGGATCATGAGATTATTTTTCCTGTCGTTATTGTTACTGCACATGCTAGGAATACCAAGAAGGTACTTAAAATTGACGGTTGCTGAAGTGGTTTGATGGCCATTGTACTCAGTGTGAGCCGATACACTACTAGACTAAGTTCAGGAATACCGATCACTGATCTTTATTCAAATTAAACGAGAATTAAAACGTTTCAGAATATGCCTATAGTGAATGAATTCTGATTCATTCTCGCTTATGCTGAACACGTATATATTCATTTTTTAAACCTACATGTTTTTCTGTCAGCAAAGACAACTCTTAATTGACGAAATCAGAGATCCGCATAACTCAACAATGAAGTATTGGAATATATCTATTAATCTAAAGCGTTAGAAAAGAATTTTCGCTTGAAAAGTAAACAGCATATCGTTTACCGCTTGCATATGAATAAGTATTTTCCATTTAAAAGTACTTAATATTTGTATTAGTAAGCTTAACGAAAATTCTTGATGATTAAATGAATTCTTCTTGTTTTGTGAACTGAAACTATGATGAATTTTGTTATTCAAACTTGCCGCCGATCAGGGAATTCAACAAAGCTTTATCAATCCTTTAATTATGGTTTTAGTGCGTTGGTTATTGACTCATAATTTCATTTTATACCTCTTTCATTAGGTTTTGCATATATGTTGAACGAAAGCGAGTAGAGATGTCTACAATAAGTACCTGCCAAGAGGAAAAATATACTATTTCCCATTATTACACATAGATAGACAGAAATGTGTATTACATACTGACACCCTGGTGTAATAGATTTTTCGGAGCAGCTGGAAGGCTAATTATTCCCAGGTTTTCATCCTTGTTTCATCCTTGGAAAACGTTGATTTGTAGTTTTTATACAGATTCAAGCAGAAATCCGTTTTAGTGTGTACCACCAGTCTGAATAAACCTTACATTTTCACAAACTTGGCAACAGATATCGAGACAAATCAATGCAGAAGTATATCAGTTCAACCTGCTACATATCACAGCATGACACAGACAGTTACTGGATAGTTACATAGAGTTGTGCAGAAGAAAAAAAGAAGTTTTTCAGAAATGATGAAGACTGAACATCTCTGTGCCGTTGTTAGCTGTTATGAGTTATTTCACTTGAACTCTCCAATCACTAACAGGTGTCAGCTTCAGGATCCCATAAATGTACTCTACACCCCTCTAACTAGCTATTATCAGTGGTCAGATACTTCGTGGATCGCTGACGTGTCTTAGACCAACCTCAGTTGGCTGTCTTTCTATCTGATCCTTCTTCGGCTGGGATAGTTTCATAACTTGTTGCCAACTGTTATACTCTTGTAGTGACTTGGATAAAAACTTCCTTATTCCATCCTTAATAGTAGCTCAGTTTCTTCTTAAATGAAAAAGATGGCAATATAACAGAAGGTGTAATGCATCGTCAACAAATATATACAAAATAAAAACACTGAAATATATTTACACTGGATTTATGTATTTCTAGGCCTTTCTAGATATACATGTGCCAGTGGATTTCATTCTTTCAACCAGTCTGATATATACATGTTGGTTCACATGCTTTCTCTCGAAACTTCGGAGTGAGACGGCTGGTTGTAAGAAGCTTCAGGGATATATGACTTCGTATAAAGATTTTGTCAATCTTTCTGCACACCACAGCAGATGGTATTCAAATATATATATATATATATATATATATATATATATATATATATATATATATATATATATAAACCCGTCGGTGCAGCCTAACAACATCATCAGCTTTCTGTCTGTGGTCTAATACC